CACTCCCTAGGATTGATGACCTCTTCGATCAATTGCAGGGTGCATCTTGGTTCTCCAAGATTGATCTGAGGTTGGGTTACCATCAGATGAGAGTCCGGGAGGAGTACGTGGAGAAAACAACATTTCAGACTTGTTATGGCCATTACGATTTTGTGGTGATGCCTTTTGGGATCATCAACACACCTACAACGTTCATGGATATGATAAAACGGGTATGTAGGACGATGCTCGACCGGTCAGTTATTATTTTCATTGATGATATTTTGGTCTACTCCAAGACCAAGGAGCAGCATGAGGAGCACCTTAGAGAGCAACTTAGAGTACTAAGACAGGAGAGGCTTTATACCATGTTCTCAAAGTGTGAGTTTTGGTTACGAGAGGTCCAGTTTCTGGGACACCTCGTCAATCAGGACGAGATTCCGGTCGATCTGGCCAAATTGAGGCAGTGATGCAGTTGGAGGTCCTGAAGTCCCCATCTGAGATTAAGAGTTTTCTGTGATTGGCTGGTTATTATCAGAGGTTCGTCTAGGATTTCTCCAAGAATGTAGTTCCTCTGACCCATCTGACGAAGAAGTGTTTGGATTTCCATTGGGGGCCTGAGCAGCAGGCTATATTTGAGACTCTGAGGAGGAAGCTATGTGAGGCCCCAATATTAACTCTTCCTGAGGGTGTTGATGATTTTGTGGTATTTTGTGATGCATCACAAGTTTGGGGTCGGTACTCATGAAACGGGGCAGAATCATAGCCTATACGTCAAGGCAGTTGAAGCCTTGTCAGGCCAGGTATCCGACGCATGCTTTGGAATTGGGGGTTGTGGTTTTTGCCTTCAAGATTTGGCAACATTATCTCTATGGGGACCGATGTACCATCTATACAGATCACAAGAGTTTGAGATATCTTGATGTTGTCAGTCGAATCTAAACATGAGGCAGCGCAGGTGGCTTGACGTGGTCAAGGATTGTGATTGTGAGATTCTCTATCATCTGGGGAAGGCTAATGTGGTGGTTGACGCTTTGAGCCGTAAGATGACTAGTACTCCTACCCGAGAGCACTGTTTGAGGATGTCCATCGACTCCCCACTTTTGGATTTGATCAGGGAGGCTTGGGCCGAGGGAGTCAAGAAGGAAAAATGGAAGCAGGAGAGGATCAAAGTTGAGATTGACAGGTTATCTACCGACAGCCGCGGGATTTTGACCCGGTGTGGTGGGTTATGGGTGCCATTTTCTGGAGTAGTCTGGTAGATATTTTGGAGGATGATCATAAGTCTAGGTTCTCGATTCACCGTGGAGCCACGAAGATGTATCAGGACTTGAGGCTGAGTTATTGGTGACCATGCATGAAGAGGGAGATAAGATGGTATGTGGAGAGATACTTGACCTGTCGGATGGTCAAGGCTGAGCACCAGAAGCCTCGTGGAAAGCTTCGGCCACTAGAGGTGCCAATGTGGAAATGGGAGCACATTACTATGGATTTCATCACTAAGTTGTCGAGGACGGACAAGGGATTTGATGCGATTTGGGTCATCGTCGATCCTTTGACCAAGAGTGCCCACTTTCTTGCCATTCGGCCGAGAAGTTGTCCGACGTGTATGTGTGCGAGATTGTCGCTCGCCACGGTGTACCAGTCTCTATTATATGTGATCGCGATATACAGTTTACTTCTCGGTTTTGGCAGAAGTTTCATGAGGATCTGGGTAATAGACTGCTTTTCAGCATGGCTTATCACCCTCAGATTGATGGTTAGAGTGAGTGTACCATTCAGACACTCGAGAATATGTTGAGGGCTTGTGTCATAGATTTTGGTGGGAGTTGGGATTTCTACCTTCCCCTAGCTGAGTTTTCCTACAATAACAACTATCATTCTAGTATTGGTGCACCGCCTTTCGAGCTTCTCTATGGAAGAAAGTATCGTACATCAGTGTGTTGGGGAGAGGTCGGTCACAGGGTCATGAGGAGGACTGAGGTAGTTCTCTAGATGATAGAGCTCATCCAGTAGATCAGGCAGAGGTTGCAGACAACTTAGAGTTGGCAGAAGAGCTACGCCGATAAACGATAATCCGAATTAGAGTTTCAGGCCGGGGATATGGTTTTTGTTGAAGGTATCACCTTGGAAGGGTGTTATACTCTTTAACAAGAGGGGAGAGTTAGGACCCCGATTTATCAGACCATTCCGAGTTGTGGCTAGAGTAGGCAAGGTGGCCTATCGATTGGATCTTCCTAAGGAGCTTTGCCAGATTCATAGCACCTTTCACATTTCCCAGCTTCAGAAATATGTAGTCGACGATTCATCAGTGATCCCATCGGATGTCATTCAGGTTGATGAGCGCCTGAATTATGTGGAGAGACCGGTAACGATTCTAGACAGGAAGACGAAGGCCTTGCGCAACAAGGTGGTACTTTTGGTTAAGGTCCAGTGGCATCATTAGAAGGGTTCTGAGTGGACTTGGCAACCCGAGGCAGAGATGCGGGAGCACTACCCAAAGTTATTTGCAGTTGAGGACTTCGAGGATAAAGTTTGATTCAAGTGGGGGAGATTTGTAACACCCGTTCCATGTATGAGTTAATTTATAAATGTTCTACTTTTATTTGGGTGGCCACGGCGTGGTGGAGCCTCACCACGACATGGCGGTATTGTTTTGATCGCGGGTTTAAATGACCCGCCACGGCGTAGCCATAGGTGACACGATGTGGCTAGTGTTTTTGGAGGAAATACTAATTCTTGGGATTTGGGCCCTATTTAAAGGCATTATGGCTAGGGTTTTGTGATCATTCAACCTCCATCACCCTATCAAGATCAGAAACCCTAACCCTAGCCTCCATTGCAATTGTGAACTCATTTTGGTGTTTTTGGTGATCTTTGAAGGAGAAGGAAGCCTTTGGTATGGTGATTTACCTTGCAAGCATCATCTACATCTTCTAGCATATCTTATGGACCTTTGGTGAGTGTCCAAGACTCAACCTTTTCCTTGCTAAGTTGCTAGATCTTTAGATTTTATCCCCTTTTTCTTCACGTCTTGACGGGTTTAAGTGTTGAGATCTCATAAAGTTTGCAAACTTTATGAATCTCCATGCCATTTGGATTATTTGGTGCTTTGGATCTGAAGTAGGAATGAGTTTTGGTGTCATGCATGGAATTTTGGTCATTAACCCTTGTTTTGACCTAATACGATTTTAAGACATGCATTGTACAAGCATGTCTGAAAAGCATAAATTTTTATGTTAGTAATGGTGCTAGGAACCCTTCTGGAGTTGTTAGACAAGAGACCTTCAAGATTAAGTACTTAATGATTAAGCCATGTTATATTTTTGCACTTTTTGGACCTAGGAGTTGAGATATTGATCTCTTGGGGAGTCTTAAGGGATAAAGGTTGAAAATTTATCCATTTAGACCATAGAATGGACCAGATCTAAGCTTTGGAGCCCTTAGAATCTAAGAAAACGACTTAACCCATTAAGTTGTTAGGAACCCAATGCCCACGACATGACCTTAGGTCGTCACGACGTGGCGACTAGGCAAGAGCCGTCTGTTTTGTCGTTTCGCTGCCACGACGTGGCGACCAGCTAAAGGTTGATATTTAACTTTTGACTATTGACTTTGACCAAGTTTGACTTTAGGTTAAATGGTGTAACTTGAGTAGTAGATTGAGGCTTGGTTCATGTTTATGGTATAGGTGATTCGTGGAGTCAGTGTGTAGAGTAGTGATTAGTTCAACTATCGTTCAGACTGTGAAGTGAGTTTTCCTCACTGTACTCGTGGGTCGAAGACACCAATGTCGGCCCATTAGATTGTATGATGTATCCTTAATATATATATATATATATATATTATATATATATATATATATATATATATATATATATGATGTTGTTATGCTGTAGTGTTCTGTTAGACTAATAAATTTGCATGATTATCTGTTAGCTGATTATATGTTTATCTGTTGCGTATGTCGACGTAGTGTGGTTGGGTTAAGGCAATATTGCTCTATGCGAAAGCCAACAAACGTGGGAGCAATACAGACATAAGCTGAGGGTCAGGAAGGCAAGTTAGACTTATGTTGTGGGCTCGAGAGTAATCCAGACATATGTTGTGGCCCGAGAGGGCGATCCAGACTTATGTTGTAGACTCAGGGATAATCCAGTCTGATGGCTGTAGACCCAGTATGCATGCTATTATATGTTTGTGTGGTGACGTTTTGGGAGGACTCACTAAGCTTTGGCTTGCAGTTTGATTTTATGGTTTCAGGTACATTTAAGGATAGAGGCAAGGCGAAGGGTTGATTGTGCACATTATTCTCGATATTTATTTATTTGATCTATGATTTTGTGATACTCTGATTATGATTATGACTTTTGGAAACTATGTTTTGAGGATTTATGTATTTTGATATGGTTTTAAAAAGGAAAATTTTGTCATTATTTTTGGGATGTTACATTTCTCAAATGTCAATTTCTTCCCTTCATTTTCTAATGTTTCACGTTTAACCTTCGTAGTTTATATAATATGATTTTCCTACAACTACCATCCTAAACTCTGTCAAATGTCATTTTGTCTTCCTCGATTTTGAATTTTGTAAAATGTCACTTTTATCCTATCGACTTTCTAAACTTTCGTGTTTAACCCATCCACCAACAGTTTTGTCAATGATATCGACCTTATATGTTTATCTACCAATAAGTACAATAATACATAATTTTTATCAATACAATCATTAAAAATCAATTTACAAAACATATCGAAGACACCATATAAAACATCTCTCTTTCACTCTCCCTCCACAAAATACTAGCTTTTATAAAGACATGTGTGAAAATAATGATTATTTATGTTTTATATTTTATTTTGGAACCAAATTATATAGTTAACCGATTTATCTTTCAAAAATTAATTAAATATATTTAAATAATAGCTAATGTTTTTGAAGGCAACACGTGTAACATAAAGTGAAATGTATCCATTAAATATGTATATCAATATGTCATTGTACTCTATTGTCCTGGCTTGGATAAGATGGCAGGGATATTAGAATCCCCACAGGGACCACGTTCACCACCACCAACATCATCACCATATAAAACATCTCTCTTTCACTCTCTCTCTCTTTTTTAGAAAATCAATATCACAGAAAGAGACTTTACAAGAAGGGAAACTTCAATTTAGCCTTCTTATAATCAACTATTTCTTGTGAGTTTTTTTTTTTTTTCTTCCCCAATTTTAATCCTTTCATTTTCAGTAAATTAACGGGGTTTTATTGGAGTTATAATCAAGCCCATGTTGATTTACGCTGATTCACACATACACACATACTGAAGCATTCCAGAGTTTTTGTCTGTTTATGATCATTTGTCATTTACTTTGCTTCTGTATTGACATCAGTCTCGACACTTGTGCCTGCCATTTTTAGTTTTGGATTCTTCTTGCCCTTTAAATTCTTGCTTTAAAAACCCCCCAGAAAAAAGTTCAATTGTCAACATACACCGTTCGAAATCGAGACTAAAGTTACAAAATACATCAACTTTTAGCATTAGGGTTTGTCATCCGTTGCTGCTGATAATTGGGTATGGGCCTTTACTCTAAAAATTTGTTCCTTTTTTATGTTTTGAGTAGAAATGAAACTTTTTGATCTCTTCTTTTTAGCTTAGGGTTGTTTATCTGTTGCTGTAGCTTATTGGGTATGGATCTTTACTGTAAAAATCTGATTTTTTTTTCTTCTGAATTTAGGCTTGTTTTTGGGTATACTTCTTCAGTATGCTGGATCTTGAAAGTTGGTTGAACTATTTTTCGTTTATTTTAAGCTTAGGGTTGTTTATCTGTTGCTTCTGCTTAGTGGGTATGGATCTTTATTGTAAAAAACATGTTCTTTTGTGGGGATTTAGGCAGAAATTGAAGATTTTTCCTTCTGGTTTTTAGCTTTGAGTTTTTAATTTATTGCTGGTGCTTGTTGTGTATGGATCTTCACAGTAAAAAGTTTGACTTTTTGTGGGATTTTGAGTAAAATTTCAACTTTTTAATCTGTTTTTAGCTTAGATTTGATTTGATTTGGGTGCTGCTTAAGTGCTTAGTGGGTGTGGATCTTTACCATATAAAAGGAATCTTCTGTTCAAGAAATTAACCTTTTTTCTATGCTGCTGCTGCATAAAGCCACTATTTAGCAAAAGTAGATTGATAGTAGAGTCACCATGACAAAATAATTGGGATAAATATAAAAATGATTTTAAAAAATGACGTCTGAACACTCTTTTAGTGGAAGAGTGAGCATGATTGTTTATGCAAACCTTTAGATTTAGCTAAGGGTAACAAATCTTTGCTGTAAAAATGAACTTTTTTATTAAGGTTTCTTCAACTTCCATATAGCTTTCTTGACATTATTTTCTTTTTGTACTTAAAACTTTTCCTTTTTAGATCCTTTTTGGAATATTTTTAGTTCCTTTTTATATTCTCATATGAGAAGACTTGAACTTGAAATTGCAAACACGCCCACTTTAAAAAGTTAGAACTCGGGGTGTGTTTGGATGCGCGTTTAAGCTTATTAATGCAACCCATTGTTTGGGTAAAAGTGATTATGACTGATTTTTTAGGGTTAAAATAATCAGATATGAAGTAGGTGAGAAGTTTCGTTAAGAGAACTTATTATTGCGATGGACGTAAACAACCCAAAAAGACGTGAATACCCTCTTCATCCCCATCATACAAATACAAAATAGCCCTAGAAAAGCTTGTCTATATCATATTCAACAATTTTTAATTTTCAAGAATAGTCATAGTTTTCGCCATTTTCTCAGTTGTTTAGTTTTAATCATCATCTTTCATTTGACATTTATTTCTTTTTCTAACATAAAGCAGGTTCTCTCTTACTGATTGTGATATGGGCTTTCCCAACTCCTCTCAAGCAATCGTATATTCCGGCTCTTAAGCATGGAGGTTCATCATTTCAACAACACCATGGAGACTCGTTACGAGAACGGAATCGGAATCGGAATCGGAAACGGACATTACAGTCCGAGACACAACTCTTACCACTCGACCCCAAAACACTCTCTATCTTGGCTCGATTTAAGAGTTTGCTACATTCGAATCAGCAAATGTGATATCAACAATGAATCAACCCCTGAACATCTAACACTTAACCATGTCCCACTTAACCGTGACACTTTACTTGAAGTCAATGGTGTAAGAACTAGCATCTACTCCGATTGTGTTTCAACCCTTTTAAAGCGAGATCGATTAGACAAAAAGTCTGAGGAAGTTACATTTGTTAGTACGGATAGTTTTAGGACAACAGGAAGTGTGAAGTTTGAGGTTTTTGATAAGGATGTTCTTCTGGTTTCCGGGGTTCTTGATTTGTGTCATGGGAATGGAATTCATGGGGAGTTGGCTTCAGATGGTTGTGTTTCTAAATGGAGAATGGAATGTGAGACGGATATGGTGGCGGGAAATGGGTTTCTGAAAGGGGTGGAATTGGAGACACCTGTGATTGAAGTTTGTTTGGCTGGTAGTTTTGGTGGGAATCCGATAATTTTGACGAAAAGTTTACAAGTTTTTTATAGAAAGAAACAAACAAGGAAAGGGGTGCTTCAAGCTATACCTGAAAATGAAGCAATTGTGAATCAAGGAGAGGGTTCTTCTGGCCTTTCTTTGAAGGTATGTCTTTTGGTTTTAGTATTAATTCTGTAATAGCTTTGTTATTTGGTATTGATAACAATATATGATATTTAAAAGAACTATAGATTTTGTTTTATAGGACTTGTAATCTCAACCGATGAGTTGGATGAATTGACCTACAAGCATTTATTTGTCAACTTTTTTGTATAATATAAATAATCATTGCATTAAATATGAGTACAAGAACTATGCTATTACAATCTAATTTTTTGAATACAACAGACTTGTGATGGAAGTACACATTGTGCGACTCTTTGTTTTCTTTTCAGCTTTTTTTTTTTTTTTTGTTTTTTTAATTTTACCCATAACTGGATTAAAAAAATTCACTTGATCCCATCTGTAGACTGTAGTTTAATATATTATATTATAAGAACCTTATCCTGAGAAGAGCTCAGCATTTGCATGGCTTTTGGCACTTTTTTCCATGTTGCGCACACTACAATGATGCCCTCTTGTTCTATGAGTCGTTGTTCCATTAAAATATATTGGATTTCATATAGGTTACAATAAAAAAAAAATCAAACTTTTTTGGCTTATAGTTTTTAGTCCAAATCAAAGTTGTGTTTTTTGATTCAGGGTGGTTTATTTTTGTCATCATTTACACCCGGTTTGTTAAATAGGACATGAAAGATTATACTGTGTTTAACATAAATTGGACGAGGACTACAGCCTATGTCAATGAGACAAAAATCATAGTTTTTTGTCCCATTAGAAAATGTGGGACAGGGACTCACTTTCTTTCATGCTTGCAAGTTGCAATAGACGTAAATACCCTCGTCCTCATTGAAAATATTCCTCAACAACCTTGTTCCATGTAACAAATGCAATTGTAGTGTTTGATATTTTCTTACATTTGACATTATATTTTGTTGGTTTCTTTATGCTGTTTTGCTTGGTGACATTGTAGGCTGCGGATTACCCGAACTACAAGCAGGAACACGAGTACCATAGTCTTTACTCCGGAATGGAATACGTGGAAGGTGAAGACGGAGAACTATCGTGGTTTAATGCCGGTGTGAGAGTGGGTGTCGGAATTGGATTGAGTGTTTGCCTTGGAATCGGAATTGGTGTCGGATTACTAGCAAGGACTTACCATGGTACTACTAGAAACTTCAGAAGACGACTTCTTTGATTTGGGTGTTTACCATCTATTCCAAAACAACACATCAAAATAAGAAGGTTTTGTAAGAAAGTGGAGGCCTCTTGAAGCACATTCCGTGAGGTTGGTTGATTTTGTAGGTATTAATTTAGTTGCTGACAGGGTTGATGTCGTCGTCATGTAAATAACTATGATCCGATGTGGTTCCTAGTTGTTTGTGTGTATGTTTTTTGTCATTCTCTTTGTTTTGAATTTTGTCAACAAAGGTTGTTGATAGGAATAACTAATAAGCATGTTTTGTGTTTGTCGAGCAATAGAGTTGAATCTTGATGGAGTAATGATTAATAAAGTAATAACCTTGATCATATATATGGAAAATGAATGATTAGGGCAACACATATTTGAACCAATGAAAATATGACAACACATCATTTTAGGATAACCACATAAATAACTTTTACAATACATTACTTGTGAATAAAGAAATTGACACGTGTCATTTGATTATTGGTTTTAGCATATGTTGCGCTAGTTATTTGTTTTCCGTAGAACTCATTTCTATATATATATATATATATATATATATATATATATATATATATATATATATATATATAGAGAGAGAGAGAGAGAGAGAGAGAGAAAGAAGAGGGTTTAATTGAGAAAAAAAAGGTTGAGAATGAGGGATTCATTCTCAGCTATATATTTATTTTGCCGCAAAACACTTAGGCATACCGGCGGAAATGAATAACGGATACACATGTGTTTTCCAACTAAACATGTTTTCTTAAACTATGATAATCATTACCTTACTATACCCAAAAACATACTTTTTTTTTGTTTTTTTTATTTTTAGAAAACTATTTTTATCGAAAAATTATTTTAAATATATCAAAATTCATAATTTTTTATTCTCTATAAATAGACATCCATATTGATATAGTTTTAAGATAAAATAAAAAATTTATTTTTTTTAGAGTTTCAACTCTCGTTATTCAGAAGTGAATAAAAATTTATCAGATTTTTATTACAGTACATTCGTTATTCACTTATGAATAAAATGTATGCTTAACTTTTTTTTTTATAGTTTGAGTATCGTTCATATATGAATATAACATGTAATAAAGTTTTCTTACTTAAAATATATTTTTTACATCATCTTTCGTCATATATATTATATTTATATATGAATAAAACGTGTATTAGTTGTCGTCATATTTTATATTCATATATGAATAAAACATTTATCAGATTTTTGTTACAGTTAATTTGTTATTCATATAAAGTTGTATAAATGATACTTAAACTGTAAAAAAATTAAAAATATTTCTTTATTCATAAGTGGATAACGAATGTACTGTAGTACAAATCTGATGCATTTCTATTCACTTATGAATAACGATAGCTGAAAACTATAAAAAAAAATTAATTTATCTTAAAACTATATCAATATAGATGTCTATTTGTAGATAATAAAAAATTATGTATTTTGATATATTTAAAATCATTTTTCGATAAAAATAGTTCCTTAAAATTTAAAAAAACGAAAAAAAAACTATGTTTTTGTATATATTAAGGTAATGATTAGCATAGTTTAAGTAAACATGTTTTGTTGGAAAACACACGTGTATTCTATTCCCATTTCCGCAGGTACGATGGAGACTTTTGCAGCAAAAATAAATGAGTGGCTGAGAATGATTCCCTCATTCTCAACCTTTTTTATTTTCTCAATTCTCTCTCCCTCTCTCTCTC